AATATGAGAGAATGTGTTTGCCTGTGTTGTATTTTTTTGTTCTCTGTGTGTGTGCGTGTGTATGTCTGTGTGTATGTGTGTATGTGTGTGTGTGTGTGTGTGTGTGTATGTGTGTGTGTGTGTGTGTGTGTGTGTGTGTGTGTGTGTGTGTCAAAATGGAAAATGCACTATTGTAGTTATTTCTACTCTTAAAAAACTCAAACATTCTTTTGTTCCAGACTGATTGTATTGGAAAAGAAGACGACCAGTTCACGTACTACTCCAAGCATATCTTTAAAATCCGCAGTAAGATAGCTAGGTATTTTTTGGTGTTTCTTCTCAGGTTTCCGATCGTGCATCGGTTTCTAGTCAAGGTAAGCTGTAGCGCATCTTGTTTGTTTGTTGAAATATGACTTGTTCTTTCTAATTCTAAAATGTAGTGACAATGACCAGGTATAGGGTGGTTAGTGGGTGCCTGTGGTAGGTCTCCGTCTTTGCTTTTATTTCTCTGTTTCTATTGGTTTGGCTTGCATTTTCCCCTCCATGTGTTATTTTGCTGGATGTAAATTGTTTCTCTGGGTATTGTTTGACAGTTTAGAAAAAAGAGAAAACATAGGAAGAATGAAAGAAAGAACTTACGAAAAAAGAACGAAAGACAGGGAAAACGACAGATAAAAAGAGAGAAAGAAAAAACCCCCAGAAAGAAAGCAAGAAAGACAGAAATAAAGACAGAGAGAACGGAAAAGAGGACGTTGTCAGAACGCAAAGAACTGGGACTGTGGAGGCAGTTGCCTGTTAGATTTTATTTGTTTGATACTTCTTTTCCACATCACTTACTGTGACAACAAGTACCATGTAAGTAAAATGCTTATCATGGTAAATGATGTACTTTTCTAGTCTAACACGTACGTTCTTTCTTCTACCACAGACACTGAAGCTGGAGTATTTCGACCCTGTATACCAAAATGCTGATCAGTACTTCAGATCTGTTCTTAGCACATCGGTCAAACACAGAGAACAAGTGCAGAGGGAAGGAAAAAAGAATCCCACCGATTTCCTACAGCAGCTCGTGAACGCTAAAACAGGTTCGCAGACAAATGGCGAAAGGACGTCAACAGGTATATTATGATGATTATTTTAATCACGAAAAGGTGGGACCAGACGCTATTATTGATATTATGTTAAAGCTTAATCAATGTCTTGCTTTGATGAAAAAACAAATACCCATATATCGTGAATGAAAGTCAAGATATTTGTGATTGAAGGAGTGGAGTCTTCTGGTGTTAGAGTTAAAATTAATCAGAAAATACCCACGGAGAGTAGACCGGAAGCCGCCGAAATGTGGTATTTAAGAATACTCAGAATCGCTTGAACGGAGAGGAAAATAAACAGTGAAGTGCTCCAAATCTGAAAAAGGCAATCGGGATTCCTTGGCCACATGATTAAATCAACTAGACTAGAGAAACCCTCTGGTGTCTGCACAGGTAGAGAGAAAGAAGCTCCAAGTGATTCTCACTACAGTGACAATCAAACACAGCACGAAATGTGATTTCAACAAGTGGTGACATCTCAGGATGCAACATTATTTGTAAAAGGAAAGAATAAAACAGGGTAAAGACTTTAAATACTTTGGGTGCACAATTACGCGAGATTGAAAAAGTGGCACAGAGATAAAAGAAGAGGATTGCAGTATCTAAAGAAACTTTCTGCAAAATGAAACCAATTCTCTAATAGAAACATAACAGTGAACGCAAAAAAATAAGCCTGAAAGTTTACACGTGGTCAGTACTTTTGTATGGATGCGAGAGCTGGGCTCTAAAACAAGAACACTGAGAGTAGAATCGAAGCTGTCGAAATGTGGTATTTAAAGAGAATACTCAGAATCTCCTTCACGGAGAGGGAAAGTAAACAGAGAAGTGCTCCAAATAAGAAAAAGACAGTTGGGATTCCATGGCTACATAAACAGATCAAATAGACTAGAGAAACTGCTGCTGTCTGGGCAGATAGAGGAACAGAAGAATAGAGGAAGACAAAGCTGGTCTGAACAACTTTGCAACGAATAACTCAAAGAGACAAAAACGAGTTGACCAAGACAACAGACAGCAGGAAGGAATGTGGTTCCATGATCTATAAATAATGTCAGCTCGAGACTTGTTAAGAAGAAGCTGACATTATTGTACAATGTAATATATAATAATAATAATAATAGATAGCATTTGTATAGCGCTAATCCCCGCTCAACAGCAAGCTCTATGCGCTTCCCAATCTATAATATTACCCAAGCAGACCTGAGAGCATTCTGAAACAACCTCAACTTCCTGGGAAAAATACAGTCCAAGCAGACATTTGTAGGCGCTAAAGCACTAACATACTGACAAGATCTGTTTGTCTGTCTTCCCGTATATATTCTTGCTTTGAAGATACGTGATGTCTGACAAAGAATATGAATAATTATCTCTATCTCTGAACAGGTCTTGCAAATGGACACGGTCCTGAGGTCTCTCAATCACTGACAGAAGAGGAGCTTGTGGCACAGTCGCTCATCATTATCTTTGCTGCCTTTGAGACCACAGCCACTACGTTACAGATGGCTCTCTACCTGCTTGCTAAACATCCCGACATACAGGTTTGTGGGGATTTGTTTCTCCTTTTTTGAAGGGGGGGGGGTGCCGCTTATATTTCTTTTTACTATGTACAGCTGTTGTTTGTTTCGGGTGGAAGTGGAACAGGTAAGGGAATGGGGGATTTCACGTTGTTTGTTTATGTGCTCGCTTTATTTCGATGGGTGAGAGGGGAGGGGGTGAAGATCATTTTAAAGGCGGAAAACGTCGCCAATGAAATGTTTTTAACGAAATGGGAAATACTACAAACTTTCTTAGTACAATATAGAAACAAAAAAAGAAACAACAACCCAATCATCCCAAGAAGAAATTAACAATACGTTAGCCAAACAAGGTCAATAGTACCACATTTTTTAAAAATCATTATGGTATCCCCAACGCCTACCCCATCCCCGCCCACATCACAGGAAAAACTCTATGAGGAGATTCAGTCAGTTGTGACGTCACAGAGTCCGAGCCACGAGGAGCTGGGTCAGCTGACCTACATGGAGCAAGTCATTAACGAAACCCTGCGCCTCTACCCCCCGGCGCCACTGATCACCAGGAAGGCTTCTGAGACCAGGACCTACGGATCAATCACCATACCTAAAGGTAGAGAAATTACGTTTTTTGCTTCATGTTTTTTTTCGCAGAAATTACAGTTTCTGTATCCTCTTAGTTTGTTTATATATAGATTTCTAGATCTATATATTTGTTTTTGGATTTGATGGCGGTTGAGGTTGTGTTAGTTAACGTGTAATTTATTAAGTACATTTTGATGAAACGCGTTATATTCTAACCTTGTTTAATAAAATAAAGAAATGTACGTAAAGCCTGCTGTTTGATTAAAGATCAGTAGAGTGGTAAATAAATAATTCGATAAAAAGGCAGTAAAGCGGATGCTAGCAGCTCGTTTTCAGACAAAACATAAACAATCCCTCGCAAGAACAAAAGTAAACAAATGAAAAGCTCAAATGTTTCAAATAAACTATTTCATTTATATTTTAAATTCTTTTTTATTTACGACTAGCTTTAGAAATGCAGTACGAACATTTTTCAGCTTGGATTTCACTCGATGTGTTCCTAATCTGCGCAATCATCTCGAAGACAGAGCGTTGCACCGTGGTGACTTGCCATAGCTTGAATTTGGAGAGAAAAAAATAAAATCATCCTGTTTGATTACATTTCACATACATCTGTCTGCCTAAATCAAAGCTTGATTTCAAGCTGTACTTGTAATGTAGCAATGGAATATGTTTTTTCTTGTTGAGCGTAGTTTGTTTGAAAACGAGGGTACTTGTGTACACTGCTACACGTTAATCTTTCATAATCTTCACAAAATCTATTCGCGCTAATGTTCCTTATAAAGTGCACGGAAGAAAGTAACAGGTCGTATGAACGTTACTAAACAGAACATTTGGTATCATTTTATAGAAGGGGAGTAAAAAGACAAGGAAAAGAAAGCCATGCCTGGAAGGTTATGCAGTCACGGGAAAAAGTTGTATCCATAATGACATAATGACTAATAATTTATCAAAGTGACAAGAAATAATAATGTAGAACATTGCTCTGTTTTGTTTTAACACTTTGTCGCACCATCTCGCCGATTGGCGGTGTTTACCACCCAATTTCTTTGGATTTCCCCCCAAATATGATGGCATGTTTTATGCCTCTATCGACACAACATCATTCATTTAGGAGGCGGGCTTCCAACACTGTCTGTCAGGGCCAACACGAGTGTAGAGGTATACAGCATCCTAGCAAAAAGACTGACATACTCTGTAAAAACAAATTGTCCCCACTAGGAATTTGAACTCGGGTCTCCTGGGTTCAAAAGTGAAGCCCCCAAACACTATAACTCAAACCTTGGTTTGTCTGTGTTTAAATAAAGAAATAATGTTATGCACATTTTTAAAAGTTTGATCAAGTATTTCGAAACTTCAATTTTATTACTTAACCCTATCCGTACGATGTGCTTTACTATCGAATCCATACGACATGGGGAACTCTGTGCCACCACTTTCCAAAGAGGAAATTTACTCGTTATTCCGATCCTTACGCTTTGCAGAGCAGTCTGTCAGAAGGATTTTTTGAGAAATACTGAACGTTTCAAAGAGATCTTCGTACTAGAAGTATTCTAAAATGTGAAGAATACAACCCCGTGGGTACAAAAATGACCCCAGGGCGTACGGATAGGGTTAAGATTAAGTTGCTAATGTTCGCTATTACACACCTCAGAAACCGGTGTCTGTGGAGTACGAGTAAGACTTTTGACAGTTATACGCCTAAGACGTGAGTCGGGAACTTTTTTTCTTATATCTAAGTCACAGTGATAATATCATGTGTCCAACTAAGCCGTTATTATGTTAAGAAGCCCACCACCAATATATGATCTGGATTATGTCGACGTGGATGTAAAAGTTTATGAATTACAATAACAATTCAACATTACCTACGTCCCACTTTTACTCTTAGGTGCTGATGTCATTGTCCCAATTGGGATGATTCTGACAGACCCCAAACATTTTCCTGATCCCGAGAAATTCGACCCTGATCGCTTCACAGAAGAAAATAAGGCCACGAGAAATCCAATGGCCTTCATGCCTTTCGGGCAAGGTCCTCGGACCTGTATCGGCATGAGATTGGCCTACCTGGAGTTAAAAATGGCGCTCGTGCACCTGTTGAGGAAGGTCAAGGTTGAGATGAACGAGAGAACGGAGCCAAAGAAAGGCGAAGACGTGGTTGTGTCGTCTCAAGGGTTGATAGTCATTGACAAGCCCATCAAACTGGCCTGTAAATTGAGATAAAGCCAGGGAAAAACTAACAAACAAACAAACACACACATATACACACACATACACACACACACACACACACACACACACACACACACACACACACACATACACTTGTTATTCTTTCTGACCAAGGAAAGCAGTTGCACTTTCTTTGTGATACCAAGAATATTGTGTTTTTTTGCAAACACAATACTTTTCTTAAGGGTTGTTTATTACGATAAATTATGCTTTGGTGTAGGCGAATGAAGCTAAAGTGCAGCCTAGTACCGTAAGGTCATATTATTATAGTGTTTACAAACTTCGCATTGTAGCGTTTTTAAACTCTTCTGCTCCTGGTCTACTTTTTAATCTTGCAAAACAGCTTATAGTATTATAGTTTAGTGCGTAGTACAATAGATGTTTATGCAGCGACAAGCGACATGAATGCAGAACAAAGGATTCTCACACTTTTGTCAAATTAAAAAAACCGACCAAATTTACAGTTTGCTCACGACGTTTAATCAGAGAAACAAAGAAATATACATTTGAGACGTTGAGTAAACAATTGCCTCTCCGGTTCATGTGACCAGATGACATTAAATTATCCAAGACAACTAATTGTCTTTGAAATAGTATTTAAGTTCAAATTCCTTAAAAACGTGATTCAAAGTAAAACAGATGCCTTTCAAAATCATAGTTGTTGTGGGACTTATTACAGTAACTTTTTATGTCCTACTTAACTTATCTAATGGATCGCTACTGACCTTGGAAGCTGTGATATAACCAAATTGCAGTCCATAAAAAGCCACTGGGCACTTCTCGTGCCCTTTCATTGAATAAACTTGTGATGTATATACCTCCGTATTTCTTTTTTGTCATTTCCTGATCTTACGTCCCCCCCCCCTCTCTCTCTCTCTCTCTCTCTCTCTCTCTCTCTCTATCTCTCTCTCTCTCTCCCTCTCTCTCTCTCTCTCTCTCTCTCTCTCTCTCTCTCTCTCTGTGTGTGTGTGTGTGTGTGTGTGTGTGTGTGTGTGTGTGTGTGTGTCTCTCTCTCTGTGTATCTCTCTCTATTTATCTGTCTGTAGGTCTTTCCATATATTTAATATATGGCCGGAGAGATTAAGAGAGAATGAGAGAGAGAGAGAATGAGAGAGAGAGCGAGAGAGAGAGAGAGGGGGGGGGGGTTAGAATAAACTATGCATCTTTCGTCTGCTCTCTTTCTCCGCATCTCTTTATCTCTGTCACTTTCTGTCTCGTCTCTCTTGTACTTTTTCCTGGATTGTGTGGAACCGAATATCATAAGTCTATAAATCTTGCAAGTTAAATCTTGCAAGTACAGTCGGCATTGTCTATGAATTCCAGCTTAATCGATGAGAAAAGTAGTCGTCTTAAACAAGTAGACGTGTTACACTGTGCTATTATGATATGAAAATACGCAAGGATTGTCTCATACAGATGGCCTTAAGTGTTGGTTCGACTGTTCTTGATTCCTGTCTGTATTGATTAATGTGCATCCGATATTTTTGAAACCAGAAATCTATGTTTGTTTTAATAATTGACCTATTATTACCAGATACAGATGCTGTCGGTTTTAATGTGACGCCAAGATTTATTTTTTGTGAATAAATATTATTTACTGCAAAAACTGAGTTGATTTACTTACATCCAGGTACCCTTTTCTAAGCATCAAGCTTATTTAGGAAGGGCCTCTTTCAGTAACCTTTGTCTCTGATAAGATCAGCTATATTGACCGAGGCAAGTGGAAATGTATCACACAACTGAAATTGAAATTAAAACAGGGAGGAAAAAAAATTCGGTATCAAAATCCACCGAAAATTTGTTGTAATAATATCCAATTATTTAGGGTGAGTTACTCCTCAAGTTTGACTCCATACAGGTCTATGGTGCTGGTGGCGCTTGTTTAAATTCAAATCTGAAATTGTTGGACCCTTTAGAATGTGGGTTGCTTTCGGGCAGTAATCAAGGCTCTCATGTACGTTGATTTGTTTTATCTGAGATGGACGTTAATAAAGGTACTGCCACTTGACATTGAAATGCAGGTTTTGTTACGTGTCCCCAACGACACATCAGTCCCTAACAACACCATTCAGATCATTTAAAAGGCGGGTTTCCGACCCTCCTTTTCAGAGCCAACCACAGTTGAGAGGGGTACAACATTACGGAAGAAGGGTCAAGATATTCGATACAAATTCTACTCCCTCTGGAAACGAACTCGGGTCTCCTGTATGCGACAGAACCTTTCGTTGTTAAGAGAAAGAAATATGCGCTTACAATATACTCTCCTTTTGATCCAATGTTTCCATGAGGAAACCGTCTAAACGCTTTTAGTCCGTAATTGCATATTTTCTCCCTATTCAGCTCAAATGAGGTCATTCAACATTATGCACTTGTAGATCTCGAATCTATCAACTACACGGTTTTTAATCAGTGCGTGTCAATTATCATGTTTATAAAAAGCCTCTACTATGCCACCTTCAACAGACTAAACATTTCGTACCGCCCACTTAAATGCACACAAACTTTTTCCGTCTGGGAAATGAAATGCCTGCCACCTCCAAGGTCAACCTCACCTCCAGCCCAGTAAATGAATCATCCTCAAGTAGGTCATATCTCCCAGGTTGGCAAGCACTCATTATAAATGCATCTTTTTAAAAAGGCAAATCATTGAAACGTTGCCAATTCTTATTCCGTTTGTTTGTTTGGGATCTCATGACAACTTCCAAAAAGTCTTAGACATTGAGAGAAAAACAAAACCGAGGGTATCTGAGTAAATGTGTTAAAAGATACGGCTAATTCCGTGTAATAACGCGCTCAAGATGTGTTCAAAGGCTGATCAGCGACCCAGACTGTTGGCTGATAATCTAACGTACATCGTTGATTGTCCCGTAAATCTTTAAATTGCACGTCATTTAGTGGGCGCAATACGATCGTGTTTTGCGTTGGGAGTACAGTGATAATAATATTTCCGACTGCACTAGCTCAAAACTACAACCCCACTCTCTCTCTCTCTCTCTCTCTCTCTCTCTCTCTCTCTCTCTCTCTCTCTCTCTGAGTTCCCCCATCTCCCTTATCTCACTCTTCTGTGTCTGTCTTCCTGTTTACTTGTCCGCCTCAGTATATCTCCCCACCCTTCTCGCTCTCCCCTCCCCCTCTCTCTCTCTTACTCTCTCTCTCTCTCTCTCTCTCTCTCTCTCTCCCTCTCTCTCTCTGAACCCCTCTCTCTCCTTCTCGTCTTTAATGCCCCATCCTGTATGTGACTGTCTGACTGTTTGTCTGTCCTTTACCGTGTATTCTTCCCCTTCTAACCCTCATAACCCGATTGTTTGTGTTGTCTATTACGCATTGGGTGCCAATAATACTAACGCGAACAGTGCACCTAAATACGCATTTACACACCTAGACAGACAAAGAAATACACACACACACACACACACACACACACACACACACACACTCACACATGCACACACACATTATATATATATATATATATATATATATATATATATATATATATATATATATATATATATATATAATATAATATATACTTTCCCACAAGCACGCTTCCACACTCACACATCCCTCTCAACTCTCCCGTACACTCCCCAATATACACATACACAGAGGCACATACACACACATATACACACACAAACACACACACACACATACACACACAAAACATAAACATGTTCACATAAAAAACTTTTTTTCATAGTTATACATTGATATTTAAATGGGGACAAATCAAGACCCCCCCCCCCCTAAAAAAACCCCCCCCAAAAAACCCCCACTCTAGAGAAAGATCTTTTTGAGATTTGAGCCAGGGTTTTTAGATTGTACTGAAGTGTGATGCTAACCGAATTAACAGACCCCAACTGCATGTCTGAAGAAAAATGATATGGTACTATCTAGGACCGAATCGTGCCAAGTTACATCATTTAGCGGTCGGGTTGCTTCGACCCTGCCTGCCTGTGCCAATATGGACTCAGTGGATACGGCTTTCGAGCGGATGGATGAAGGTATTTGATTATCTATTTTAAATAGAAGAACAGTCTCAAGTCTCGAATCGAACTCGTGTTGTTTGTGTGTGACGTTGAAGAGCCGAACCACAGCACAATAATACGCCAGTGTTCATGCTTGACGACATCTATAATAATATGTTAAGACTAGTTGGACCCCCTTTCGATGAAAGGAATGATCGATGCATTAACATCAACTGAAAGTCATTGGCCAACTAATACTAGATCTATATTTATTTTACACTATACTGGCAGGGAACAACAAAATTTGAGAGATGCAAAAAATTAGAGTGTCTAGATATATACTCTCAAAACGAAATGCGCCTCGCGAAATACCACTTCCGGCACTTCCGCTGTGAAGGGACAGCTACGCTGATTTAATTGTTTCGTTTTTCAGTGGAATAATCACAAAGGTCAAAGAAGGACGGGAACTTTTTGTCGAATATATTTGTCTAAATTGAGGAAATGAATAAATAAAAAATCGGGCTTCATCATGGGGACCTATCTTTCTTTTTGCAGTTACTTGTCAACTTTCAACTCTGTAGCTTATGTAGTTTTATGGGGAAAGTGACCAAGTTGCCAAATATATAATAGAATATGTATAGATTGATTCTCTATTCCGCTTACGTGTTTGTACACTCCAGAATTTCAAAAGTGTGGAAACAGTGCGTACGGCTAGTGATCGGAAACCTCAATTGTTTTTTACAATGGCGTCTTTGAAGACGGACTTTCCCAAGATTAGATCTATATGAAACTAACGAAAAACTGAAAGTTAAATGACAGTGACTTCAGGCTCCTCAATAAAATTGTGCACTCTTTGTGAGTGATTCTGAACCTCCATTAATTTTGTCAAATTCAAATCTTAAGTGGTGCGGAAGTTTTAGGCGGCCAAAGTGACGGACTTTCACAAATAAAATATGTAAAGATGATCAGAATCACACCAAGTGCACTTTGTACTTCCCAACTGTTACTATTGGGATAACCCAATATCGTGACCGTGGAGGTTTAGAGGACGTCACTAGTGGATCTTACTTTTTTTTCTTTTACTTTGCTTTTTTCAGTATGTCTGGTTCACTTTGTTCCTACGTTAAATTGTTAAACTATCTTTAATGTATGGGTATGCTTCTTTTTTTTTTTTTTTTATTACTAACGATCCAGCTTCTGGAAGTTTTTGTACTGTGATCGATGTTCAAAGTTTTGGGTGCTGTGCTAAGCAACCATTATCGTAGTTAGTATGGCAGGGTTTGAATCTTCAAAGGGGAAGGGGTCTCACAGTTGTTTAGGGAATAATTGTTCAAATCCTCCCCCCGATAGGTAAAAATCTCAAGCATCGTAAACGCATTGTTTGTAATACTTTAGAAGGTGGTCTGTTTGATCGTGCTTCTTTGAGTCAACAGTGGTCGGCTAGGATACAATATGGCCACAAGCAGACGGAATTTAATTACTCTTTAGGAAATCTTCACTTTCGGGAGTCAAACTTGTGTGTTCTACTTACAACACAAAAGCGTTGTTTGTCTTAATCTGTAATTTGTGTCTGTCTGTCCCCCTATCTTTCTGCCTCCATCTCTCTCTCTCTCTCTCTCTCTCTCTCTCTCTCTC